AAGATGAGTGATTACAGAAGTCAGCATTCCCCCCGCCCCCAACCTGCTGTGGGCTATGTGCAGATGAGGACAGGACTGAATCCACCTTCCCCATCCTGGATCCCTTCTCCTGGCACCTAGCAGGGCCTCCAAAACATCCTTTTTTTTTTTGAAACAGAGTCTAGCTTTGTTGCCCAGGCTGGAGCGCAGTGGTGCAATCTCAGCTCACTGCAGCCTCTGCCTCCTGGGCTCAAGCAATTCCCCTGCCTCAGCCTCCTGAGTAGCTGGGATTACAGGCATGCGCCACCACACCTGGCTAATTTTTGTATTTTAGGTAGAGAATAAAATACATGAAACATTGGGGTTCACCATGTTGGCCAGGCTGATCTCGAACTCCTGACCTCGAGTGATCTGCCCCCTTTGGCGTCCCAAAGTGCTGGGCTTACAGGCATGGACCACCACACCCAGCCTCCAAAATGTCTCTGTTGATGGAAGGAATGACCCTCAACCCCTCCAGGCATGAGAGGTGTAACCCCAGTTCCTGCCGTTTCAGGCTTCGGAAGATCCGTGCGGATATTCTTGGCGGACTCGAGAAGCTTTCGCCGGTTCATGGCCACGGATCTGGAACACGAAGACATGGTGGAGACGGCTGTTTTCGGTCCTGAGAACAACCTGATCGTCACAGGGTCCCTGGATGCGCTTATTCAGGTGAGGGGAGATCATCCTCACCTCCGCCTCGGGAATAGACAATGTGATTCTTTGGGGATTTTTGGCTGCAAAATACAGACACCCACAAAAACGAGTGCAGGCAAAATAGGTGAGTTCACTGGGAGGCTATGGGGGTGTATCCTCCGCCCCAGTGGCAGACCTGGTTGGGAATTACCAAAATGTTCAACAAAGGAGGTAGCATTCCCAAAATGATCCTCAAACCTTGGGGGCAGATTTAGGCCTTCAAAGTGGCTCAGGGTTGTGGGGGAGGAAAATTCTCAATTTAAGTTCAAAGTTGTCCAAGCTGGCGAGAAAAGTAGATGGTGAAATAGCGAATCTTCAGTGTTTTAGTCTCAGGCCCCTTGAAGTTCTCTCTTTTTTTTCCCTCCTTCTTATGAGCTATTTTTTCCAGTTTTAAATAAATTGACAAATAGACTGTGCACAGTGGCTCACACCTGTCATTCCAGTACTTTGGAAGGCCAAGGCAGGTGGATCACTTGGGCCCAGGAGTTCAAGACCAGCCTGGGCAACATAGCGAGACCCAGTCTCTACAAAAAAACACAAAAATTAGCTGGGCATGGTGGCACGTGCCTGTAGTCCTAGCTACTCAGGTGGCTGAGGTGGGGGATCACATGAGCCCGGGAGGTAGAGGCTGCAGTGAGCTGTGATTATGCCACTGCACTTCAGCCTGGGTGACAAAACAAGAACCTATCTCCAAAAAAAAAAGAATAATTTTCTTTTTATTTTTTGAGACCAAGTCTCGCTCGGTTGCCCAGGCTGGAGGGCAGTGTGGTGTGATCTCAGCTCACTGCAACCTCTACCTCCTGGGTTCAAGCAATTCTCCTGCCTCAGTCTCGCGAGTAGCTGAGATTACAGGCACCCACCACCATGCCTGGTTAATTTTTGTATTTTTAGAAGTTAATTTTGTATTTTCACCATGTTGGCTAGGCTGGTCTCGAACTCCTGACCTCAGGTGATCAACCACCTTGGCCTCCCAAAGTGCTGGGATTACAGGCATGAACCACCGTGCCTGGCTAGAATAAAATAATAATAATCATAAATAAAAAACATTAAAAGTTTTGAGCTTCCAGACCCTCTAAAAAAGATGTACAGGGCACCCTCTAAAAAAGGTTTACAGGGCACTCTCCAGGGGTTCCCCGGAACACACTTTGAGAACTGCTCTGGAAGCTGCTGGGTTCAAGCCTGAGGAAGGTAAAGGAATGGGAAGATGTGAAGGCCCTTGAACTACAGCCTGAAAATTCACCTTAGGTGTATGAGGGGGCTGAAGTGTACTACTTATTTTCTTATTTATTTATTTTTATTTTTATTTTGACGGAGTCTCAC